AACAAGCAGAGCAAACTTCCTGCTTTCTCTGCCTCCCAAGCTGTTGCTTTTGGGAGTGGGAAGGAAAATGAACTGCAGAGGAGAGCTGTTCTGAGAGTTTTCACACTGGAATGCATTCAGGTGGACCAACTCGAAAAAGAAACATGGATCTTTCCAGAAAAAATACTTGTTTTTGTAAGGCTCTCACTTGTAGGCAGACCCCTGCGCGTTTTCTTTCAACAAGGCGAACCCGGGGGATAACACTGCCTGTCAAGGGCAATGGACGTGCCTCACATATGCATGGCTCTGGTGCTACGTCGTGAAGAAACTGTGGCTTCTTACAGGGCTCCTTTGATTGCCAGATGTGCAGCATCAAGTGGTGGAGCATCAGCACAGTTGTCACCTAGTTCAGGTACTTCACACTCCAGACCCAGGTTAACCTGAGCTGTGACAGGATCTTGGAGAGGAAAAGGAGAATGGAAGTGGAGTGGGAAGAGAGGTATGGAAATTCATAGGGCCAGGGTACCAAACCTGTATGGCTGATACTACTGACAGCATGTTTCCGATTATTTTCTTTAAGAACTGGCCTAGTTCTGTAAATTTTTTATGAATAGAGAGGCTATTAGGTCCTAATTGGGACCTAATATTAGGACCTAATTTGGTCTTAACTCCAGTAAAGCTTAAACTTTTTGTTCTGTCCTGTGTCATTTGCCCTCATCCTTCTTTATATTTGATAGGTAACCTTCTATTTCTTGTTGTCTAGTTACATTAATGGTAGAAGAGGAAAAGAGTGACTCAGATGATAGAGATTTCTTTCAGGGACTGTGTATTCATCGTATGTGTTAAGCTCATGTATGTCTGTGCCTTTAATTTATCTTCAGATATTACTATTACCAGCCTTCAGTCTTCCACTATAGCAAAACCAGACCTGATTAGGACAGCTTAATCATATATACATAGTATCTGGGATAGCTGGATCCAAATTAAGCTCTCTCAGAATTAAAGCTTCTTTACACCCTACTAAGTGCTATTTGCTTGACTTGCTACAGGGTCATTTGGCAGACAGGGATGATGCAGCTTGCAGTGGGATACATAACTCT